TCGACAAAACGTCCGTCGACAAAACCCGGTAGTCTAGACGTACCCTGAGGGGGGATATGATAGAGGTCTATAAAATCGTGAGTGGTGTGGAGAGGGCAGATAAAGAAAAGTTATTTAGTAGTTCACATAATAGAAGAACTAGAGGACACCAAATGAAATTAAAGGGTAGCAGGTTTAAAACTAATAAAAGAAAGTTCTTCTTCACACAGCGTGTAGTCAACCTGTGGAACTCCTTGCCAGAGGAGGCTGTGAAGGCTAGGACTATAATAGAGTTTAAAGAGAAGCTAGATAATTTCATGGAGGTTAGGTCCATAAAAGGCTATTAGCCAGGGGATAAAATGGTGTCCTTGGCCTCTGTTTGTCAGAGGCTGGAGAGGGATGGCAGGAGACAAATCGCTTGATCATTGTCTTCTGTCCACCCTCTCTGGGGCACCTGGTGCTGGCCCCTGTTGGCAGATAGGATACTGGGCTAGATGGACCTTTGGTCTGACCTAGTACGGCCGTTCTTATGTTCTTATGTTCTTATGACCAGAGTGTTGGAAGTCCAGAACCAAGAATATATAATGGAAGGGAGGTGGGGGGAAAGGAAAAAATGGGAGGGGGGAAGAGGACATTGGGTAGATAAGTTTCAAAGGGATAGCCAAGACAGTCTGTAACAGGAAAAACTTAAAAAACAACCAATATTCTAGTAGCAACTGAAAGACTGATTACAGAGCTCTGCGACTTTGTCCTCACCCACAACTACTTCCGATTCAGAGACAATTTGTATCTTCGAGTCAGCGGCACAGCCTTGGGCACCACAATATGACAACATCTTTATGGTTGACCTAGAACGTTTCTCGCCCCCTAACACCGTATCTTAAGTCAGCTGTAATAATAATGAGCCATAATGATATATAGGAGTCCAATGCATAAGGATGGCAAATTCCTCGATCCTGTTCCAAGTGCCCCTCCTCTATTTGCACTACATCAGTGACATCTTCATCATCTGGACCCACACGAAGGAGGCCCTTGAAGAATTTCTGTGGGATTTCAATAATTTCCACCCCACCATCAGCCTCAGCCTAGATCAGTCCACTTCCCTGACACTACAGTACAATTAAAGGATGGACAAATTTCCATCACCCTTTATCAGAAACCCACCGACTGCTACACTTATGTTCATGCCTCTAGCTTTCATCCCAGACACATTTCTCAATCTATTGTATACAGCCAAGTCCTAAAATACAACCAGATTTGCTCCAATCCCACAGACAGAGACAAACACCTACAGGATCTATAAAGAGCATTCCTAAAACCGAAACACCAACCTGGAGAAGTGAAAAAACAGATTGATAGAGCCAAAAAAGTACCCAGACATGAACTACTTCAAGACAGACCCAAAAGAGAAAACAACAGAATTCCACTTGTCATTACCTACAGTCCACAACTTAAACGTCTCCAAAGCATTATCAACAATCTACAAAATCTAGCTTGGAAAATGACCCGTCACTCTGAAGCGTTGGGGGAAAGGCCTATTCTTGCTTACAGACAACCCCCTACCCTGAAACAAATCCTTTCTGATAACCACGCTACAAGCTACATCATAAGCGTCCAGGAACCAACCCCTGCAATCAACCCTGGTGCCAACTCTGCCTACACATCTATACAAGCGATTTCATCACTGGACCCAACCACATCAGCCACCAAATCAGAGGCTCCTTTAACTGCACATCCAGTAATGTGATCTATGCCATCAAATGCCAGCTATGCCACACTGCAATATATATTGGACAAACTGGACAGTCCCTACAGGAAAGAATTAATGGACACAAATCAGATAGCCAAAAATGCAACACACAAAAATCGGTTGGGGAACACTTTAACCTTTGTGGACACTCATTAAGGGATCTCCAACTTACTGTTTTGGTACAGACCAATTCCACAAGCCAAATACACAGAGAAAGATTGGAACTCCACTTCATTCTCAAGTTTAACTCTTACACAAATGGTCTAAACTGCGATCTCAGATGGCTCGCACATACTCAACCAACCAAACAATGAAGGTGCCAATGGTTCTTGATGCCTGTGTAGAATCTGTGATTAGTACTCTTCCCTTCCTAGTACAAACTAATGGTTCTTATCAGCCTCTTTTAATTATGTAGTCTTTAAGGTGCTACTAGACTAGGGTTTCCCAACCTATGGGCCGGGACTGAAATATCAGTCACCATTACATTTCAAAAGGGTCGCCAAGTGTCTTCCCAGGTGGCTCTCCCCTCTCACCTCCCATCGTTTTTGAATTGCCTTGGATCACCAAGTCTTCCTGAATTGTCAAATTGGGTCGCCACCTGGAAAAGGTTGGGAACCTCTGTACTAGACTATTGTTTTTTAAGTTTTTCCTGTTACAGATTGGCTCAGCTATCCCTTTAAAACTTATCTACCCAATGTCCTCTTTTCCTCCCCTCCCATTTTTTCCCCTCCCCTTCCCCTTCCTTTATTTATTCTTAGTTCTGGATTTCCAACATTACGGTCATCTGAAGAAGTGGGCTGTGCCCATGAATGCGCATGATACCATCTACATGTTTTGTTAGTCTTTAAAGTGCTACCAGACTATTTATTGTTTTTTAAGTTTTGCCTGTAACAGATTAACTAGGCTACCCCTCTGAAACATATTGAGTAAATTATTCCATAATGGGAAGGTGCCTAGTTGGATCTGTTTTTGAGATGTTTCTCATCTACTCAGCCTGATCCCTTTGTCCACAACATTGGAGTCACTCTTCATTCTGAATTCTCCTTTGTCTTTCACATGTTCTGTGTCTGTAAATCTTCTATCGCTACCTCCACACATTAATCCTGTAATCCACTGCCTTGAAAACAGACCCTGCTGCTAACAATTACCCTTGCCTTTCACTCTTGTAGCCTTGACTATGGAAATACTGTTCATTATGGCTTTCCCAAACTGCAGTTCTTTAGACTCTGCACCATGTAGCCAGGTGCTCTCTGACTTCTTGCCTTCATCATATTATTCCCATCCTCAGACACTGCTACTGGTTCCCTATTCATTTGAGGAAATAGTTAGGAACAACTCTTCTTGTGTCTGCAACTCTCCATCGACTTATTCTACCTAAGTGACAGATTCTGTCCCCATGTCTCTCTTTCTATACTAGTCTTCACCCTCCTTCTCCTTATCGAGTACCTTCATCCTCTCTATCAATTTTTGCTATCTCTCTTCCTTTATTACAAAAGCCTTCTTCTCTGCAGCATGGGTGGTGGTTAATGTAGGCAAGGGAAGGCATTGCCCTCCCAAAATCTGATTCCCTAGTTGCTGGGAGTACTGGAGCTGTTGGGCAGCATCCCTGGCCCTCTGGTTGGCCAGGAAGAACCATGCTTCAGGGCTGGAGTTGGGTGGGGCATTGCTCCACAGGGGGAGGAGGAGATTGCTGAAGGGGCATGGTCTTAGATGGAAGGGTTGGGGTCTTAGACAGAAAGGGCAGAGCTGGAGTTTGCCTTCCCTAGCTGGGTCTTCACCTGCCTCCCATTCTCTGCAGCTTCTACTGTTTGAAAAAGCCTTCATATATCCCTATATTCATCAGTTTTCCATCGCTAAAGAGCTAATCTGAGGGAGGAGCAGAATCTCCTTCTGGGTCTAAGGTCAGGACTGGAAGTCTGTAGTTTCTGTTTGTACATTGGTTCTATCTGTGACCTTGGACACCACTCTGCTTCTTTGTATCCTTTGTAATAATAATGACTTCACTCAGAGGGATGTGATGAAGATTATTATTTAAAAAGTTTAAAAGAGAACACCTAATTTTAAGGGCTAAACTCTGCTTCCCATTCCCTTCCTATGCAAGTAGTCTCACTGATGGCAACGAGACCTCTCTCACAGAAAGGTATTATTCGACTGAGTCAGGGTGGCAGAATCAGGCTCAGAATGAAGAGGGCAATGGATTGTCTATACATTCTGAGGTTAGATAAAAATATCGAAAATATCATTAGGATCTTTCAAGTTTAAATAAAAAATGTACATAAGTGGTCGTATTTCTGATGATGAGTTTGCTGAATTTCACACAAAAAATGTGAGTTAGCAGTGTGAAATGTGTTACTGGTGCTGACTTCTGAAGAAAGTCTGGAGAATGCAAATTTGGTTGGCGTGATTAAAAAAAACGCTCACCAGCCAATTCCTTTGGCATCAGTCGGGTGGGGGACAGATTGTAAACTCTCCTCAAGCTCTTTCTTATTACATTTTTTCAAAAGAAAAAGGGAGATTAGGAGAACAGCTTTCTGTAAATTGCATGTCTTTTTATGTAGCTCCTCCAAAGGATCCTCTGGCTACTGTCTCCAAGTGAGGCATCTCCCTAAGATATGGCACTGGTTTTATCGAGGTCAGTATAATTTAGAAGGGATAAAAAGAGTTTAAACTGAGAGCTGCTTTCCATTATGAAATTTAAGTTAAACCAAAATCTGAAACAGTGCATAAGAACTGGCCCTTAGATCAGAAATTAATAGCATCAGGGGTTTGGCAGGAACATTTTATTTGAGTTGTCCCATCACATCATTAATTCATTTGGAATTCACTTTGCTTCACTGCAATAAGAACTGTTCATAATAAATTCATTTGGCATTAATGCAGAGGGCTCAGAGCTTCCAGATTCACCCCCTACAATATTGATTAAGTACTTGTAGAGATTGTCTCTCCTCAACAAAAGTACAACTGTGGTTGACAATCCAAATTTATATAAATATGCTTTCACCTAAGGGCCATAAGAATAAGAGATGGTTCATGGCCTTTTTATATGCTTCTTGCATATTGTGCAAGATAAAAATATAGAACTCTTCCCTCCTCCTAAAATATGTGTCTCTAATCTTCAACCCCTTTTCTCCTGCATGCAATTTTAGGTGGAAACCTCTTCTTCATGATTCTAGAAGTTATGTTATGATTTATATTGCCCTTGCAAAGAAGGAGGAAGAAAAGGGCATCACATTTTGGTGGATTTAAAATGAAGACTCTGGTCCCAAGGACTTTCCAATCTAATTTATGCAATTAGTATATGAGTAAAAACATCAGATCAAAAGAGCTGAGAATGGGGGCTGGAGGAGATAATTAAAGTTGTGGAATTTCTGAATTTTCAAATATTGTGTTATCTTCTCAAATAATGTGATTGCATTTCTATAGCATCTTTTATCTGACAATCTGAAAGCATTTTACAAAATTATGTGATTAGGATTAATAGGATCATTTTACAAAGGAATGTCCTTAGCAAAATCACTTAGTGACGGAATTGTGAATAAAAACCATGTATCACTCGTGTCTCGTCCCCTGCTCCCACTACTCTGTGTAGTTGGTATATATCTGTTATACACACTAAAGCAAAAATTGGGGAAAAATTAGATAGGGAGGGTAAGAATCTGCAAGGGCATGGAATTTGTAATGGGGATCCCAAGGCTGTTTTTTTGTTTTGTTTTTTGAAAACTCCCCCTGAAATTATCTGAGGGGCTCATTTTTTCAGGCCGTTTTTCATCATAAGTTCTCCATCAGGATAGAGCCAAAAATAAATAAATATAAAAGCTCACACTAATTAGCTAGAGGAAAAATTGAAATATTTTGGCAGTTGGGAGTGGGGGAGTGAGGGTGGAGGGTAAATGAGGCTACTGAAATGGATGGTCCCACGCAGGATGAAATCTTCATTGTGTGAATGTGTTTTTTATCGGTTTGTGCAAGGTGAACCTGGGACCAGATGAATGTTTCTGTCAGAGATTGTGACAAAAATATATGACAGAGGAAGGAACGGGGAGGGCGAGGGAATATGTGGATTATGTCTCAACACTGCACTTAAGCCAAATACTAGGGCTGGAGAGTGCACACAATGTGAAGAACGTGTATTTTAAGGAGCTTTTGTTCTGGCATACGGGAGACAGAAAGATGCAGTAAAGGCTGAATCTCAAGATGCAAGCTTTTTTGTTTGTTTCTGTAAGTCATCCAGGAGGATGAGTATGTTTCTCAGCAGAACTTTTACCTGCTATTTTTTGTTTTGTTAACCTGCTGTCAAATGCACCTAAGTCAAAATGCGGAGAAGAACACGACATATCTCTTCTGTGCACTATTTTGGATAGCGAAGTATAGAAACTTGGACAGGAAGAGTTGAAGGAGCCCCCAAACAGCTCCATTCCAAGAGCTTTTCTTCCCAAGTGGTCTGCAGCAAAGCTGAGGGACTAGCCACTTCTGTATAATGAATGGGGGAAATCCAGTAATAGAGCTGTCCACAGACATATGGCTCCTTCTCCCACAGACTGTGACATCAATCAAACCTGAGTTAGAGGGACATGTTACACCTCTGCTGCACACCAGTCCGCTGGTCAGTTGCAACCATGTATAAAGTAGCTTGTAGAAGCCTGAAGCAAAAGAAGAGTATAGTAACATTGTGTCTGAAAAATCGTTTGCTGCCTCAATTGCATGAAGTCTTAGAGTACATATTAGCAGTATTAGATGATGTGTCCTTAATGCATCATTTACTGGTGAGGCCACGTTGGAAGTTCAGGAGAGAGAAAGCTTTTGGGACAATTGAAAGACAAATGTGAAATGATAAATTACCTGGGGAAGGGGGCGGGGGAAAGGAGGGGAGTATGGTGTGCATGAGGTAGATCTTGCCCTGTTTTAGGGCAGGTTTATGTGGCTCTGTTGGGTCAAAGTTGTTGTGACAATGGTTTAGTTGGCCACTGGTAAATTTTCCCAGTGCTGAAGCGGTGTGATCAGAAAAAAAAAAAGACATGTGGCCAGGATCTCTTTACCCTGGTAATCCTTTAGCTGCTGAAATAGCTCCATGGATGCCATAGGCAGCCAATGCAACTTACAGCAGCCTTCACATTTCATCTAGTTTGCCCCAGGAACTGGTACTGGGATTGACCGCAATTAGAGGAGGGAGGGGCACAAAGTTTACTTGAAACCAGCTTTTCACTGGTGGTGCTCACCTGTGCTGCCTGCTTCTTGGCTGTAGGTCAAGATATATGTCTGTACGAGTGCGCCTATACACATTCATCGTTACCCAAGTTGGCCAAGTCTCTGTTCAGAAAGAAATCAAGAAGCAGCTTCCAAATTCAAACACTCCCAAATGCTTATATTAATCACATTTTTCTGGGTTCCCTTAGAAATACCCTGAAAAAAGCACTCGCTGTATTTCACAGGAACTCTGACTATAGTTAGCGTTTAACATGTCAAAAAATGTAAAAGTTGAAAATACATAATTTACACAAAATGCCATTGATTTAAAACCACTCTTGTTCAGTACAAAACATCTTATTCCAAGAACTGTGTTTAGATTTTTGTGTATGCGCCTAAGTGTTTGTTTTGCTTTTGCTTTCAGGCTGTAGACAGATTTTCTGGATGCAGCATTTGCTAACCTTAAAGTACACATTTGACACGACCTCGTCACATTATATGATCATATACTACTGAGGGATAAAATGCCTTAGGAGTGTATTGTGCCTAGTTGGATATACAGCATTATGACAGGAAAATTTTGTAGATCAGCTTTTTAGCTACATTTTCAACTGATGCATGAATTTTCTTAGAGGATGTTATTCACTATGCACCTTATGAGGTGGTATGTGACTCCAGTAGCCACTTTAGAACCAAATGAAGCAGGGACCACTTTGCTAAGGTGACAGAGTGGGGGGAGGTGGTAAAAATGAGGACACTGGGTGAGCTTTCCACTGGGTCTTTGACTGGATTTTTCTCCCCTGTGCTGGTTGTTTGCACTGCCAACCCTTTTCCCCTGCTCCCACCTCCCTGAGTCTTTAAACCAATGATGGGTAACCTGCGGCCCACTGTGGTTCCACCTATGGCCCACGGATCCCCTGGCTGTCCCCTCCTCCACACACCTCTCATGAACTGGGATACCGGAGCCTAGCACTTCCTATATCTCCTTCCTCCCTCCCAGCACTTTTGGAGGAGCTGCAAATCATCTGATTTGTGCTCCATCCCTGCTCCTCCCCCATCCTCCCAAGCTGGAATGCTGCAAATCAGGGAGAAAGTGGGGACAGAGCACGAATGCAGTGATTTGCATGTTCCAAAAGTGCTAGGACAGAGGGAGAGGAGCAGGTATGTATGGGCTCCAGTGTCCCCATGTGTGAGAAGCGTAGGGGAGAGGAAGCAGCAAACAGGGGGCCCTGTGGCTGCAGGTGGAACCCCAATGGGCCATGGGCTTCTGCAGCCCACTGAGGTGGCTATTTGTGGTTGCCCATCCCTGTTTTAAACCCTTGATGCCTTGTCCTCTTCTCCCTGTCCCTGTCTTCCTTTCCCCCTTTCCTTCAATGTCTCATCTCCCTTCACTTTTATTACTATTTGCCTGAGACCTCGTAAGTAAACTACCAGCCCACCTCTCCAAAACAATCTTGGAATGAACATGATGTAGGTACAACTGTAATAAACATGATTAATCATATGAACTGAAGCTGATTGAATGCTACTGGTTACTGTTCCTGCAGTGAAAAATTAAGCTGTTTTCTCCTACTGCTGTTACTTCTTCCCGATGGTTGGCTGGTTACAATCACTTTGACATCTGTGGATGATAATCCTACCATGAAATCCTAAAATAAACTAGTGACATGTACAATCTCTTCTATGGCCAAGAGGATGAAACACAATTTCACACGTCAAGAATCAGAATTCCTGGTGTGGAAGGTGGCCGAAGCAGCAAAAAGGGATTGTGCTAAGAAGTTATCGAAGATTTGGTTCTTTCCTGGAACACTACTTTCTTGTCTGCCTTTAGAGAAAGATGACAACATGGAACGCAAGTTGTGGCAGCATAATCCAGTGGATAGGATACTTTTTAGTTAGATGCTCTTGTTTAAGGGCTAGCTAGATGTATCCACAAAAATGGACCAGATTCTCAGATGGGAGATTGAGAATTCTGAAATAGCCTGAATAAAGATCTGGAGCCATATTACAGAACTTTTGTTTAATATACATAAAAATTGGAATTAGCAGGTGATGAGCAATAACAATAGGTCACTTTAATTATCTGTCCCACTAAGAAAACAGTATATCTGAAAATGCTGTTTGTTTCTCAATCTCAATGAACTTCAATTGCATGCTAATTTCTATTATCTTGTAAACTGAAAATAAATGTAAAGACGAATATACTTGACTTCTTTCACAGTGTGATGGAAACTGAATAAACAAGCAAATATTAGAGTTTAAGAGCCAAATCAGCTTCAATGACATCAGCCTGAGCCTGTCAGACAACATCTGTCACACTGCGTACTAAGCAGAGCCGGATGCCATTCCAGAGCTGGATAAAACATAAAGAGAGACACTGGGTAGTTAAAAGGGGGTGGAGGGAGGACTGTACGGTGGGGTGGAATGCTGAATTACACAATTACTCATCATAAAATAATCATTGGTTTTATTTAATTACTTATTTATTAATAGCTCTGGATTTTCAGTTTTCCTCTAACCACAGCAGCACCCAGAGGCTGAAAAACTGACAGCTCCCTGGAAGTAGAGCTCCTTGTCTCTGGCATGGTAGGTAAGACTCTGATCATGCAAGTGATAATTCAATAGCTTTAACAGTAGGATTGCTCTGGATGAATGAAACCTCAAGGTCATTTACATACTTTATTTTATCTTAAAGAGTCTTAAATGTTTTTGATTGCAAATACTAGAGTGGTCATTGAGAAGTCTCAGCTCAAAGCCGATATTGGAACCAATCCAGAGAGATCCCCAGCACCTGCCGAGCACTGGCAATAGAAGTTGCAGGTGCTCACTGTCCCTTAGCTCTTGCTCCATTCAGTGTAAATGTTTAAGAGCTGAAGAGTGATTCGGTGCTAAGTATTGATTAAGGGCTACATTCTGCCCATGAACATCGAGGAAGACAGTTGTATGCATATTTTGTCAGGCTAGCCTAATTGTGGAAGTCATTGTTTTTCTAGACCAACTTTATTGATGGGAGAGTCACATGAACATTTAATTCCTTCCTGTTTAAAATGGGGATTTTGCTTCTTCCCATCAAGAGGAAATCTTTTGCAAATGATTTGGGTGTAGTTCTGCAGTCAGCTACAAGTTTGCACCTCTGACAAACTCCAGTTTTGAATCTGAGTGCTGAATAGGAACCAGGCTGGGTCATCCTTACCAACCTCTTGTATTCACT